CTTCAGACAGAGTAGGAGTATCTAATATACTCCGTGCTGAGATAGAAGAAGCTAGAGACTCATACTCCTCAGGTAAGCCTTCAAGTATGACATTAATATGATCCCTAGCAGAAATCGGTTCTCCGATCGACAAAAGATTATCAGCTATGGTTTGAATACGCAGAAGATACTCTGAGATTGTGCGATCACCTTTAGAAGTGTTACACAACTCAGATTTGAGTTGCCTGGCCTTCGCGATGATATGTGCTTGAAAGAAACTGGTGATTTCGCTCCAAAGTTGATGCGAATGTCTATAATGAATCACTCGAGCGTGAAGTGACTAAGAAAGCGAGGCAAGCAACCAGGAGAACAACATCTAATCTTGTTGCTCCCATATGGAAAAAGCTTCATTGACATTGCCAGCTGCTTCGTCATCACCAGTGTTGAATTGCTTCGGAATATTAGCTTTCACAATGAAACGAAGTAATTTGTGCGCTCGAACTACAAATTCAACATGATGTTTCCAGATTAGAAAATTGTTTCTGTCTAGCTTGATCGGAAGAGGATGCGCAAAGGTGACCGGAAAACTGCAATTTCCAGAATTTCTGTTGGAGGTTTGAGAGGAATCATCGGTAATAGCCATAGATGGATCGAGCTAAAGCTCTGATACCATATTAGAAAGATAACAGAGAGAGATTGAGAAAAATGAGAATTGTAGTATTGATATCAAGTGAAGCAGTAGTACGTATATATATATATATATATATATATATATATATATATATATATATATATATAGAAAAGATCCTGTCCAGACGTCCGGACAGGAGCCGCCGTCCGGCCGGCGGCGTTTGGCCGCCTTCCCGGTGGAATTTTTTGATGAAATTTTTATGGCATGTTCTCCATCAAGTCTAGTTTATCCACAAAAAAATTCAGCCAAAAACTCAATCGGGAAGGTCGTCAAATGATTTTTGCAAGTTAACTGGTCCGGAATATGTATTTTCCGGACCAGTTAACTTGCAAAAATCATTTGACGACCTTCCCGATTGAGTTTTTGGCTGAATTTTTTTGTGGATAAACTAGACTTGATGGAGAACATGCCATAAAAATTTCATCAAAAAATTCCACCGGGAAGGCGGCCAAACGCCGCCGGCCGGACGGCGGCTCCTGTCCGGACGTCTGGACAGGAGCATTCCTCTATATATATATATATATATAGAGAGAGAGAGAGAGAGAGAGAGAGAGAGAGAGAGAGAGAGAGAGAGTTGGTTAAGTCATTAACAAGCTCAACTGACTAAACCGAGACTCTATTAATAGCTAAAACTATTACAAGGTAGTCTATTTAGAGTATATCTAATAGATTCATTAATTGTTGGTTTGGAAATATGGTGTAATAAAGCAAAACGATTCACTAAACTGTCTGCACTTCTTTGTTATGAAGCAATAGTCACTCATGAGGAAGTGGTCCAGCTCAACTGGTCGCTAACACTCTCTCCCTTATGGGAGGTCTCGAGTTCGAAACTCAATGGATTCGGTTTCAACCCAGTTTACTCCAGGACCCCCAGACCCCCTCCCCCAGACACACCCCCTGGAGTAAAACAAGACAAAAAAACAACAGCCAGTCCATGCAACTTTCACCACAGATCATCCCGAACAGTCTGTATGTTCTTCAATGTAGGTGTAAGGCTGCGTACATCCGACCCCCCGTACCCCACCCAGGTAAGCCTTTACGACACTCTGGTAATGATGAATGAAATGAAATGAATGAGATAGACAGTTTTTTCTACATACAAATAACTAATGTTTGTGTACGTAGACAATAATAGTTTTCATGCAACCTAGCCCTCTCATTTTCTGCAAAACACACGAAAAACAAAGGTATGTATATAAGGGTGGACCGGTTCCGGTCTGACTGGCCCAGGAACCGGACCGGACCGGACCGCCATTGTGCCGGACCGAACCGGTTGACCGGGACCGTTTATGGGCCTAGGACGGACCCGGGGAATTTAAGGGGGCAGTTCTGGGACTTGGGAAATAGGGATCGACCCTGCCGGTCCGGGTTCGGTCTGGGCCTGTTTTTTGTTTTTTTGGGTTTGGTCCTATGGTAGGTGGACTGGGCTGGGTGTTTTGGCGGGGGTTGGGGGGTTGGAATAAATAAGAAAATCTAAAAAAAAATTAAAAGAACCGTCCCAAAACGGTCCCAGCCCAGCCCGGTCCTGGTAGATTCCCAACCCAATGCCGGGCTTCACCCCAAAAAAACCAAGCCCGCCCGGTCCCGACCCGGAACCGGACCGGGCCCGGTCCATCCCTATCTGTATACAGACAGTTGTCTATGCAGGAAAAAAATGTAGGCTAAAGGCTCAAATAAGTCCTTGTACCCGTCTAGAATGCTCAATTTACTCCCTAAACTCATAAAAGATCCAATTAACACCCTAAACTCGATAAAAACATTCAAATTTCACTTTTGCAGGCCATGATTCGATTACTGCCACGCAATTCATTAAAGTGCCAACTGCGCATCTGACGTGGCAATTTAAGGGGTAAAATAAGCCCCCAAACCCGAACGAATCGTTCAATTTACCCCCTAAACCCTTAATAATGTTATTTTCGGCTTTTGGTTTAAAAAAATTGAAAATAGTGTTTTCAAGTGACAAATTCTACTTATTAAATGTTTAAAAGTTAAAAGTTAGAAACCACTTTTTACGTTTTCTATTACACAAAAAACACATATTTTACCAAACACTATCAACTTTTACTTTTCATACACACGGGAAGAAAAGCAGTTCTTTATTTCAACAATTTCAAACTAGTGTTTTAAATTAGACACTGGTTATCTTTCAGTGTTTTCTCTATTGCAAACACTCCATATATGAATTATGAAGTAAGCTAATATATACAATCATGTGCGTGTGCGTAGACGCTAACACACACACATATGTGTTTTATGTACACATACATTTTTTTCAAAAAAATATAAATATATGATTTGGAAATAAAGTTCAAGAATTAATTTCTTTTAGTTTAAAATTTTATTTCTTTATTTTGCATTTACCGAAAATATTTTATATTTATATATTTTATATTCTCGACTTGTATTTTTATTATGTTATACTTTATATTTTATATTTTCATTCTTTCATAATTTTTGATCCATAAGTTTTCACGTCACATGCACAGTTAACATCTTACAAAGTAATGTGGCAGTGATCGGGTGTAACTTGCAAGGTTGTTAAAATCGCATTTTTGAATCGAATCGGTAGATGTTTTTGAAAATCGAATCGTAAAATCGAATCGCAAATCGTAAGATTTTATCAAACATATTTTAATAATTATAAAATAAATAAATATTAAAATTAAGTTGCAAGTTAATGGTATTATGTCATTTTATTACATACCACTATACCTACAAGGTCAAAAACAAGATTTATAAACTATTTTTATATTGTAAATAGAGTGAATAATAACATTAAACATATGTAAAACATAAAAATAATTAAATAACACAAGAATCCAATACTTTTTTAAATATACTATTGATGTTATTATTATTGAAATTTTGTATCAATTTGTAGTAGTTAATTTTAATAAATTTGAACCATTTTCACTAAAAAAAACTTATTCCGATTTTGCTACGATTTTGATACGATTTTATACGATTCTACACGATTTTTGTACGATTTTGTTACGATTTTGTACGATTTTTTGATTTTACGATTTTACCTGCGATTTGAATCGATTTATTATTGTAGAATCATAAAATCGTACGATTTTACGATTTAAATCGAGATTTTAACAACCTTGGTAACTTGTAAAAGTGAATTTTGAATCTTCTTATCGAGCTTAGAGTGCCAATTAAAGATTTGTTTAGTTGAGGGGCCAAATTGAACCATTCGAGTACAATTCACCAATATCCAATTCCTCTATTTGACTTGACCAATTTTCTACCATTGCAAACTTGCGCATTATTGTTTTAAAATTTAGTCAATTAAGAAAATGAGCTAAGTGTCATTGTCTCTTTATAATCGGTTTAAAAAGTAAATGGTACCTGTAAAATGGAACGGAGTCGAACTTTAGAAAATCTAGTCACTTTTTGTATATTTATAGACGGATTATTGAATTTTTTTTTTCTTGAACGATGATTATTGAAAAATGTTAAGAACCTTAACTATCTTTTTGCTCATATTATGCACTTGTGGATAAGTGGATTGGTAGTTTTGTTAGTTTCTTCTAGTCTTCAGAGTTCACGCTATAATTTTTTCATATTCAAGAGATTCAATCGATATTTCAACCACAATTTCACAGTTTTCAATCGAATCATTCAACTCATCCAATTTCAAACGGACTCTTAGAGCCCATTATCAGCCCATTTGATAATAATGAAATCGACTGATTATGCTGAAATTTGTTAAGTTCTGGCTGAAGTGACTGCATTGGTTGATTTTGCTTATTTATGTAAAAATTATATTTAAAATCTATTTTATTCGTTAAATAAAAAAAATTATATGAAAAAATATCTAAAATAATCATTTACAGTTAACTTCAGCCTATACAGCCAGAAAAGTAACTTCAATCTTATTTTTTTTACTATTACACAACTCAGCGCGCGAAATAAAAAATTATGTGTTTGGTAAAAAAGTTGGCTGATAAATCTGATAAATCGATACCAAAGGAGCTCTTATTCTTTCTACTATGAAATCCATAAATACTTATCTCACACAAGTAGACAACCCAGAATTTCCTCCTCTAGATCATTTTTGTACGACAAAATTTTGATTCACGTGGTGTAATAAATCGTGTTAAGAATCGATTGATTTAGAATTAACGAAGAAAAACTGAATAAAAGAGGATTTGATCCTCCACCGATCCTCAACAGTACGTAAAGCTGTGTCGGTAAGAATGGGCATCGCTGTCCCTCAAAACACCAAAAGAAAGGCTCTCCGCACACCACGTGCAGCTCTAAGTATTCGTTTGGACCCCACTCCAAACTCTGTGCAACGTTGAATTCTCTTCTCAGTCCGAAACAAATCCCAAATCCAAAATTCCCCTGCATCCAAACAAACCCCAAATGCAGAATCTTCTTCGGTGTACGTACTTCTCTTTCCTTCTTTCTGGTGATCGCTTTATTGCACCAACACAAGAGAACCGAGAAGCGTTTTACTTTTTTTCTTTCGAAAAAAATTTATTAGTTCTGATGTTATTATTTATTAATAACATTATTAATTCTGGCTTCTGAGCTTCCCAACCGTATATATCATCAAATTCAAATTGTTATTAAGGTTAATTAAGAACATATAAAGTATCATCAGAGTCCACCAAAATGGCCATTAATGATGATTTACCTGGAGCAGTTGGAACAAGCGCCAGCTTCGCTTTGAGATTGGGGCAGGCTGTTTTCTCTTCTGCGTCTCTGCTCTTCATGTCTATAGGAGTTGAGTTCTACAGCTATACCGCTTTCTGGTAATGCTTTCTTTTTGTATATATTGGCTATTTTAATTTGTAGTTTAAGAGCCCCTTTAGTAATTTTGGGGTAAAATGCATAAAAGCTAATTGTTACATTTTGGTACAACTGTTAAATGAAATGAAATAAATCAGTACTATAATTGTAGGTAAGTGTTTTAGAGGCCGTTTGACAACGCTGTTTTTTGGCTTATCAGGCTTATCAGTCAACTTTTTCACCAAACACATAATTTTTGCTTTCGCGCATTGAATTGTGTAATAAGCAGAAAAAGTAAGGTTGAAGTTACTTTTTTTACTGTATTGACTGAAGTTACTGTAGATGCCCATTTTAGCTATTTTTACATATAAATTTTCCTTTGATTTATTAATAATTTTTTTCCCTAAATAAGCTAAATCAGCCACTTCAACCAGAACTTCATAAATTTCAGCAGAATCAGCCAAATCATCCGATTTTCATACTACCAAACGGGCTCTTAAACGATAATATTATTCAAGTTTTCTGTCAAAAAAATCTACATGACCGCCTGAATTCTATGTGTATATTCCACTTTATATCGCTTTTTTCTGTGTCATTACTCTACGGTGAACTCTATGTACACAAATTTATCTACCATGCGAATGTTTTGGCCAGAAATGTAAGTAGTAGTGTAAGTTCAAACATTTACGTATACTTATGATACTGATTTGTATCATTTAAGAGTTACTATACCAAGTAGCGCAATACCAATAGTTAATTATAGTCTACCTCCGTTCTTAAATAAATGCAACACTTTGACTTTTACACTATTCACATAATCTACTTTGACTGCGTTTTATTTATTAATGTAATAATATTATTTTATGAAAAAATATTGTTAAACTTGTCTCATTGTAAAGTTTCATAATCTAATTTTTTTTAATTTTTTTACTAATACAAAATCATTTATATTAATGGTCAAAGTTGTGTCTCGGCAAGTGTGAAATGTTGACCGTTGCATTTATTTAAGAACGAAGGAAGTACCATTTATGCAATTTATTTTATAACTTTGCTAAGTTTGACGACTACAATACCCATTTAAAAATGGGTAACGTACCTATCATTCACTTGATTGGCCCATACTATTAATGTAGGGTGTAAACGAGTCGAGCCCGAGCATGCGTATGCTTGAGCTTGATAAGAATTCACGAGATTGAGTTCGATCTCGAGCTTTGACGAGTTAAATAATTCGAACTCGATCTCGAGCCGAGCTCAACTCGAGCTCAGATCAAGTTTCGCTAATTAATTTTTATAGGTTTGAACTCGAATAAGGTGCTCGAACTTGAGCTAAAAATATTATATATGTACTTATTCATTTTCATTTTTAGTTTATCTCTTATTTACTAACATTTTTATTCATTATTTTACTGTCAATAAATATTAAGAGTGCATATTATATTATTACAGATTATAGTTATAATAATAATAATAATAATAATAATAATAATAATAATAATAATACTATAGTTATAATAATAATAATACTCACATGTTATTATTTTTGTAATTATTACTATTATAATACACTCTAAGATAAGTATTGAAAATGGAAGTCCTAAATTAGAATACATATTTCAAAAAAATTATATATGTAATTATTACATATATATTTATTATATATAAAATATGACACAAAGGCTCACGAACCAGCTCGCGAGCCACGAGCCTAAAATAAATAGGTTTGAATTGAGTTTGTTAACTATTCGAATCAAGCCGAACTCGACTCGAGCTTAATATGACCGAACTCGAGTCGAGCTTTTCCCAAGCGATCCACGAGCAGCTTGACTCATTTACACCCCTACCATTGTATCATTTTTAATTTACGAACATTTAAATAATTCAATTGCAACATCTTGATTGATCTATGTGGACAAAGGTATGGTACTTTGAGAGTACCATAGAATCCAAAAGAGAGAGAAATAACAACATTCACGATTTTTTTATAAACAAGACCAAAAATAATTACATCAAATGAAAACTTTGATTAATTTTGAAAAGATAAAAAATATTGACCAAAATTGTACTCATTCAGTCCCATAATAAACTCATATTTTGACTTTGCAAGGAGATTAAGAAAGTATGAATTGTGTGGCCTAAAATTGTGAGGGATGAAAAAGGAAAGAGTTATATTTAATTTGGGATAAAGGGAGTAAGAGACCGGAAGTGATATTTAATTTATTTATTTATTGTTCGATATGAGATGATTTATTTATGAAATTTAATTTGCAGCTTCTTAGTGACAACCATGGGTTTGGTGATCCCATGGAGTATTACTCTAGCTCTGATTGATGGGTATTCAGTATACGTTCGGTGCCCGGTCCGGCAACCCGGAATACTTCTGGTCATTGTTTTAGGAGATTGGGTATTTCCCCTCCACCTTCCTCACTAAATCATCACTTCTATCACACTAAATTATTGAATGATAGATACTGCGTATTTATATTGGAATTTATGAAATTGAATATCGTCATTTTGAAGTGATACAGAACTTTGTGGATGTTTCGATATCCATATTCAATTTTGTGTGCGAAAATACACCACATTAAGTTTCTCACATGTATGATTCGAATGTCTCAATTTGAGCTTTTAATTTTATTTTTCTAATTTATGAAATAATTGGAACTCTAAAATCTAAACTTAATCATCAAAGAATACGCATATAACATACTCACCAATGACCTCATTAGATTACATACTCGTCACAATTATTTATCAAAATATACTCGAATGATCATATTATGTTATTATCTAAATAATCGTATCATTTTTCAATCAAATATTTAATATTTAAGCCGGGACTAGATCATGTTTTAGTTTCATAAACACAAATAGGAGGAGATTATTTATATTATGTACGGAGTATATATATTTTCTGTATGTGCTCCTTAACATGTCTTGAAATGGTCCTAAATTCTCATTATCTCTTGACATTTTTCTGATTTTCAATGACATCACTTTTAAATAGATTCTGTTGACATCCACATTGAAATATTGATATGGGAGAACTCATAATACGGAAATTCTGATACTTTTTCCGAGAACATGGTCTAAGTTATAAGACATAAACTAGACATGGTCAATGTTAAGACACTAATAAATAAGAAATTGATATTTGTCAAAGTTACAAAACGGAAAAACTTTGGTTCTAGCTACTAGCTAGCACATATATATGGATCATATATGGTCATCATGTCAGTAAATGTCTAAGAGGACAAATGGGAGTAATATAAGTAGATCATAAGGAAAAGTACGGAAAAAGTACTTGTGGTTGGGCTCGTTTTCTGATAGGGTCAAAGTGGTCCATGTGTTTGAATTCCGTTATTACAAGAGGGTCACGCCGTTAAAAACGTCTGAAAAAGACTGTTAAAAGTAACTCCGATTTTCATCCGGAAAATTAAAAGAAAAATACTGAAAGGTGCGCCTCGTCAAGATGACCTCCAAACCACCTTCGCCTTTGGATTTTTCTGATCTGTTTGAATTATTTTTAAAAAATGATTTCGCTAATATCACTTTTTCGGTGGACTTCCCGGTGACAAGGGTGGCTGAATACAAAAAAAGAAAGATGGCGTAGCGGTCGTCTTATTGAGGCGCACCTTCCGGTATTTTTCTTTTAACGGTCTTTTTAGATGTTTTTAACGGCGTGACTCTCTTGTAATAACGGAATTCAAACACATAACCACTTTGATAAAGAATGAAACACATGATCCTATCTGAAAACGGGCTCAACTACAAGTACCTTTTCCGTACTTTTCTCTAGATCATATCTCACACTTAAGATCCCTTCCATGTTTTGTTCAAGTCATCAAGGAGGTGAATTTAATAGAATTTTCCATCCTCTAGCCCCAGGGGCTAGTTTGAGTAGTCTCGCCTCAAGTGACAGTGACACTGTGGCGTTAGCTTCTTGCGCGAGCGGTGGTATATAAATTGACATTAGGAATATAACATATTCTTCGAAAACTCGAATTACTTCTCCAAGAGTTTAGACTGGTTCTTGGGAGTATAATATAAGTCCGGCAAAGTCGTGAACACCTGGCGTTGACAGTAAATATGAGAGAAGCCGAAATTTGGGGGGTGATGATACATTAGAGTGATCATTAGGGAGCAAAATCTGAATTATGAGACAATTTAAAAAGTTCTTTCCCATCACTTGTTGGGCAACTTACTCAATTTATCACTTGTAGATTGAATTTCACTTAACACATTTGCTCAGTTTAGCGGAGTCTATAATGCGACCTTAAAAGGTCCATATTCCATTATTACCGTGGTTCAAATCCATTATTCCTTTTCGTTATGACGCATTATGTTACAAAATGGTCAAAATTAAATAACTAATTAGAAGTTTGGATTTGAGAGCAATATTTTGGAATAAGTAGTGACTACTGAATAAGTTAGGAGATTAGTGATCAAATTTCTCTTAGAAAATTTAAAGATATTTGTGTGCATTGTTGGTATTGTTGCATCTTGATCGTTGATTTGATTTCCTACGGTGGAGAACAGGCCTTATCAATCCTCACACTAGCTTCAGCTACCTCAACTGCTGCCATTGTTGACCTTTTCTTAAGAGCAGAGGGAACTCCATGTCCTGCAAAGCTTTGCAGTAGATACCAAATATCAGCTGCCATGGCCTTCTTCACTTGGTTTCTTTCCATGGCTTCCTCACTTTCCAATCTTTGGCTTCTTCCTTCTTTGTTATAACTCCATCTATCGCCGCCCTGTACATAATTATATAAGTATCATGTAAGTGCAGATAGGTTTTCCAATCTCAGGAGTTTGCATTGGAAATGATCATTTTGAGAAATATATACACCTAAAGGCTACCTGAGAAATTTTCCCTTCTTTTATACAGAGTCAGTATAGGATATATTGTTAGATATTCTACAACATATAGGTCAAAGAATTGTGCAAGCTTTGTTGACAAAAAAAATGTTCAAGCATGACACAGATGTACAGAAACATTAAGATCTGGTTATTACAATTAAGGATTATTATTATTATCACCATCGTGTCCATATCAAGTCTAGCCAGTGGCGGATCCAGAAATTAAATTTGTTGGGGCATAAAAATATACGCTATTTCACTACTTTATTTCAAACCACGAGTTATGCTTTACGTCTTGGTGTCATATGAAAAATTATAAAAGTTCATGAATTTTGAAAACGCCAATGATGTTTTTATTTTCTTCAAAGTATCAATGTTTCTTCCGTGCATTTTCTACAACATTTGAATCTATACACCCATTTAACATTCAAATACATTTGAGTTTACACATTTACTTAAGAACTAATATTGTTCAATCGTTTTAAAAAGGAGAGGCAAAATTAAACTCCGTATAATATACAAGTATGTACTTGGTACTATTTTTAGAGATGAGAAGCATGGTGTGGCTCCAATGGCTATTTTATGGGTTTGGTTGCTTGATCTGTGAGCGTTTGATCTGTGAGCGTTTTCAAAACCGCCTTTAGGAGCGATCCACGAATCCTCCTAATCACACAAGCCATTTCATTTAGAGAGTGTTGGAATTGATTACGCTTCCGCTTCTTTTTTAAAAGCTGAAGTAGAATCAGAATCAGTTTTGGTCCCCCAATTTCTAAAAAACTGCTTCTATGAACATCTTGGAGCGCTCAGAGTACTTCTACACTTTCAATAAAATACTTCAATATCTTCGTGATTCCGCCGAACTAGTTACCTTTGAATCTTCATAGGCAGCTGTCAAATAAGGGGTGTAATGGACCTGATCAGGTTCATGTGCGAGATATGTGTCTGAAAACTAGACTCTGAGCCTAAAGTTGTACACCCAAGTCTCGAAACTGTATTTGTACAAAGACGTTTGGAATTTGGTGGGTTTGTACGTAGCTTGCACATTCTAAATTTAACTTAGGCTAATGATCCTATGTAAGCAGAAAAGTATTTAACTACACAATCAAGCGAGCAGGTCTTAAAGGAAAAGTATTTAACTACACCAACCAAGCAAGCACTTGTTTAAATTGAGTATGTTTAGGAATTTGAGGAGTTCTCCTTGAAATCAACAATCATTTCTAAATACTATCTCAATTTTTAATTAAACACAAGAGCACAAGGGGTTATATGCTATATGGCACTGATACCGGTACGCGGAAACGTGGAAACGCGGAAACAGGTACGGCCGTACGGGGATACGACAAAACAAAAAAAAGTAGGATACGGATACAGGATCATATATATAAATATTAAAAGTTATGGGGGTGTATTTATAAATATTGAATGTTACAGGGATGTATTTATAAATATTAAAAATACATTTTTTTAAAAACACACATATATTATTCTATGACGTCTACTCATTCATGGCATTAAAACATTTTACATTTTCAAGATACTTAGAAATAAGTTCATATTTTAACTCGTATACATTAGCGCACCTTGAAATATCAATATAGTCAATAAGTCATTAATTTAAAATGAGAAATAAATCAAACAACTACAGTTTTTAAATTAAAAGTGAAAGTACTCAAAGTTCTAGAATAATGAAGATACAAAATAATATTTTAAAAGTTCTAATACATATTTCCGTTGGAGCTATTAATTTCCAGGGATAATTAGAATTAGGCATAAGAGGATATGTGCATTAGGAATAGACCCATTAGTTGTGTACCACATAAAAGCAAGGTAAAAATTATTTTTAGTTTTTCACTTTTTAAGAATTTTATTATGTAAATTTTGAGTGTTTTTTAAAAAGTTTTTTTGGGAAGATTTTTTTTTTTAAAGTTGATACGTGTTCCTGTCAGGATACGAGTATCCGAAATTTTGAAATAATTACCAAAAAATGGAAACTTTTAAAAATTGCAGATACGGCCCGAGAACGTACGGTACAGGTATCCTAGAGCGTATCGGATACAGGAACGTTTCCGATACGCCGATACGTCACCTTAGTGAAGTATCCGTGCTTCATAGGTTATATGCAGTTCCTACACCATGGGAGCAGCCCACCTTGAGCATGCTTCTCCCACACACAAAATTGCGCGTTACTGTTCATTCTGGTGAACAATAATTTTTTTCGTTCTCTGGTAGCAACATGATGTAACTCGCATGTAAAGAAATATAACTCAAGCTGATAACAAATGTAACTGCAGGCAAGTAGAAATGTAACTTGTCTACTACGGATAATAAGAAATAAAACATTGGAGTCTAATTTTTCAATTACTTTAAGCAAATAGTGAATATGTTTTTTTGATAATTAGGCCATAAATAGTGTTTTTTCCTTAAAATCATTCTTTTTTTCCAAACAAATAATTTTTTTGCAAACATGATTTTTTTTTTGTTTCAATAGCACGGTCTTCCTTAAATAGTGAATATGTTCTATTTTTAATATTAAGACCATAAAATTGTTTTAAGAAAATCACTTGTTTGCCAAATAATTCATTTTTTTGCCAAAAAATGATTTTTTTTGTTTCACTGGCAGGGTTTTATGTTATGATGTAACTCGTGTTGATGGAAAATCTAAGTGTATGCAAAATGTAACTTATTAATACAAGTCTAAATGTAACTAGCGTATAAGAT